GACGCAAATGTATCTATCAATCAAGTCAGTTATACACTCGAGAACAGCGAGAGGCATAATCATACCATCATTTCTCCAACTCGTGAATCTTTGCCTACTACATGAGGAGTTCAATGTTTTCAACAATTCTCAACAAAATAAACTTTCAATACCACATTGCGCACACATCACGATGAGGAGTACCCTCGAATGAGTATGATACTACTAGCCCCTGAGTAAACCTACCTCTTGAAGTCCCCCGCGGGCATATCGCCTAACGAGTCGCTGCCAATATTCCACACAACAGTGTCCGGGAACGACGGGCTCTTCTCAGCCATCAATCTGACAGGAAAAGCGTTAAATCATCACAAGTCAATGAAGACTGCTCACATCTCAAAACCGTCACAAAGTATATGAGCGGGGACAGCTGCTTGCTTATACACTCTATCCACAATACCCTCATTAAACTCAACCACCGAATTCCCATCATAACCTGCACAGGAAAACCAAACCCTTAAATAGTCACTGGAGTTTCACAACACTAGTGAAAAACATATTTCACCCATAGCACCGCATAGCACGAATATCGCGTTTTTCACAGAGTACTACACCACTGCATGTAAAACGGGTGAAACTCCACTATATGAATTGCCTTTCTTACAGTCCTTGCCTCCCTGAGCCGTATCGTTGTAATGATGCTCACCAACTCCCGCTACTGTTGTCGTAGTAATATCTCCGACCGAGAAGTACCTAAACCCTCTTCCTCGTCCTCTCCACACAGCCGTTCATGGACTATTACGTATGAAGAGCTGTTGTGAACTGCATAGCCTCCGCACCAGTATTCACCACTTCCATATGCATCCCCAAATAGTCCCCACCTAGAGTTACAGTATACCGCAACTCGAATTCGAATGGGCATCCCATCGTTTCCTTAGTAAATTCATTCGAAACCAGCTTGAATGTAACCTGTACAGAGCTCAGCATCTACACGATTTTGGAAAGTTATGGTACTATTACTAGTGAGAATATATTAATATTATTAATACTTGAGTATAAATAT